TTATATACTTGTTCTTTTATTTATTTGGCTTTATCAGGGTAATGCTGATCTTATTCAATGACTTCTTCCTTTATAGTCTTGTGTATAGTGTTGAAATTTCTTCTTCAACTCCGTAAGAAAAAAGCACTATTTGAGTTTAGAATGTTATGTGGAAGAAAATTTTGAATTGCAAATTATGTGACTTTTATTAGAAAACCTGAATGGCTTTTTTGTTGTTATTATAAAGGTGATGTACAGAAGGGTTACAGTTACGTAAGTCAGGTAATGAATACATTTCTTTTTGGACAGTGTCCTCCCTTCCCTCATTCTCTCCCATCCCTACCCACAAGTTGTATAGTTCCTTTTCAACATAGTGTCTCTAGTGATACCACTGCTTCATTTGCTCACCCTTTGTCCATTTCTGTACCTCCTCTTACCCTCCCAAAGACAGATAAATGAACAAGACAAAACAGAAAAGAAAAACAGCAATGAAGAAAAAACCTCTTATTTCCATTTCCTGGAGCTCATTTCAATAAATATTATTTGATGTGATCAAATGCACATAGGCATTGCACCTTTACGTTAAATGGCATTTTTTTTTAATTTTATTTTATTTTATTTGAGAACATACTGTACAGAGGGGTTACAATTACATGGGCAGGATAATGCATACATTTCTTACCAAGCATTGCAGCCTCCTCCTTTGTTTACCCTTCACCTCCCTTCCCAGCCTCCCCCCTCCCCCTAAATGGCATTTTTGATTCAGCCTTTCATCATGGAAGATGAACTTAGGTTGATTGATATAAAGTCTCTTATTTTTTTGAATGAACTATCAGAAGAGCACTCACTCTTTTCAGTATTGGTGTTTGTGCCATCCTTTCTTATTTTTATTGATATTTTCAGAACTATTTTGGTCTTGCAGTTTTATATTTGTTTATTTTTTATATATTGGGTTGATCTTTGCTCTTATTTTTATAATTTAATTTTTATTTAATTATTATAAAGATGACATACAGAGGGGTTACATTTGAGTTTAGAATGGTTGCATAGGTCAGGTAATGAACATATTTCTTGTTTGTTTTTTTTGTTTGTTTGTTTGTTTGTTTTTTGGGTCCAGTTGTGGGGCCTGAACTCAGCCTGGGCACTGTCCCTCAGCTCTTCAGCTCAAGGCTAGTGCTCTACCACTTGAGCCACAGTGCCACTTCCGGGTTTTTGCTTATGTGGTGCTGAGGAATCGAACCCAGGGCCTCATGCATGCAAGGCAAGCACTCTACCACTGAGCCACCTTCCCAGCCTTTGTATAGTGCTCTACCACTTGAGCTACAGTGCCACTTCCGGCTTTTTTTTTCTTTTTGCTTATGTGGTGCTGAGGAATCAAACCCAGGGCCTCAGGCATGCAAGGCAAGCGCTCTACCACTGAGCCATCTTCCCAGCCCATGAACACATTTCTTTATGGACAATGTCACCCCCTCCCTCGCACTCGCACTTTCCCAGTTTTTCCCTCCCATCTCTTTTTTTTTTTTTTTGGGTCGGTCGTGGGGCTTGAACTCTGGGCCTGGGTGCTGTCCCTCAGCTCTTCAGCTCAAGGCAAGCGCTCTACCACTTGAGCTACAGCGCCACTTCCGGTTTTCTGGTGGTTTATTGGAGATAGGAGTCTCACGGCCCGGGCTAGCTTTGAACCGCAATCCTCAGATCTCAGCCTTCTGAGTAGCTAGGATTACAGGCGTGAGCCACCAGCGCCCGGCTTTCCCTCCCATCTCTTATTAGCTTAACGTGGAAGATCACTTCATTGATACTATGCTTCTTTTCTAATTAAATGTTAAGAGTTTTAAATTTTGCCCAAGCACTGCTGTTGATTCATCCCTTAAGTTACAGTGTTTTCATTTTCAATCAGTTCAAGAATATTTTCTAGTTCCCTAATGATATCATTAACCCATGTATTATTAAGATATTTTTGCAATTCCAAAGCATTTAGGAACTTTTCCAGCTACCTCATTTATTTTTACCTCTACAAATTATTGATTGTATTGTGACCAGAAAATGTACTTTATATGAAGTCCTCCTTCCAAATTTTAGTATTATATATTTAGAATTGTATATGTCACATATTTATATGTGGAATGCTACTCTCTAAATATGCCATTTACAGTGCAAGAGACTTATAACAATACTTCTCTTCTGCACCATTCTCTGAGCTATTTGTTTTTTGCAGTGCTAGGTATTGAATTCAGGGCCTTTCACTTGCAAGGCAAGAGCTCAACACTTACCCATGTTCCTAGCCCTTTTCACTTTTAGCTTATTTTTCAAGTAAGGTACATTTGCAACCTTGGACTGATTCTCCTACTTCTGCCTCCCAAGGATTTGGGCTTCCAGATGTGCACCACCATCTCCAGCTTGTGTGTGTATTGCTTGCCAGTCCTAGGGGTTGAACTCAGGGCTTAGGTGCTGTCCTTGACCTTTTTTCACTCAAAACTATCACTACCACTTGAGCTACATAATCCCACTTCCTTCGTTTTGGTATTTCTTTGGAGATAAGAGCCTCAGACTTTTCTGACCCAGGTGGCTTCAAACCATGATGGTCAGATCTCAGCCTCCTATGTAGCTAGGATTACAGACCACTCATACCCAGCTTATTTACATTTTAAATAGGTAATCTCATGGCACAACTTAAAAGTGAAATTTGGGACTAGGAGTGTAATTCATAGTAGAGCACTCACCTAGAGGACACTGGGCTGGTCTCCAAAACTGCCAAGCCCTTCTTCCTCCCTAAACATTGATTATTTAAAAACCTTTTGTGTTTCCTGACAGGAACATCACAATTCCTAGCAGTGATCATTTATGCAGGTCAGCTTAGCACCTAGTATTATTTTCCTTCTCTCTAAGTATTTCTAATAGAGAGTGAAGAATTTTGAAATATATTTTTAAAGAGGATGAATGCATTAAACCTAGATTATTTTCAACTGAAAATTGTGGGAGATGGCTAATATTTACTTCAGTGACAGTACATTTTTTCAGATTTTTTTGCTTGCTTCCCTGCTGTTTCAAGAGTTTTTATATTTTGTTTAGAAAAGTAATTTCTTTGAATGTAGAATTCTAGATTGGCAGGCTTTTAAAACTTTAGTGTTGGAGCTGGGAAGGTGGCTCAGTGGAAAGTGCTTGCCTTGCATGCCTGAGTCCCTGGGTTCGATTCCTCAGCACCACATAAGCAAAAAGAACAAAGCCGGAAGTGGCGATGTGGCTCAAGTGGTTGAGCGCTAGCCTTGAGCTGAAGAGCTGAAGGACAGTTCCCAGGCCCAGAGTTCAGACCCATGCCCGACAAAAAAATAAATAAAACTTTAGTGATATTCTTTTGTTATCTTCATTTCTATCGAGAAGTCTAATATTCCATCGTTGTTCCTGTTTTTCTTTTTTTTTTTAAGGAAGTCCGGTTGAGGGGCCTGAACTCTGGGCCTGGGCAGTCCCTCAGCTCTTCAGCTCAAGGCTAGCGCTCTACCACTTGAGCCACAGCGCCACTTCCCACTTTTTTTCTTTTTGTTTATGTGGTGCTGGGGAATCAAACCCAGGGCCTCAATGCATGCAAGGCAAGCGCTGTACCACTGAGCCACCTTCCCAGCTCCATCCTTAAGATTTTTTAATCTTATTGTTTACTCCCAGAAGTTTGATCATGATGTTCTGTAGTGTAGTTTTTACTGCTTTGATACCTTCCTTGCTTTGAGGATTTTTCACATGTATAAAAACGTATGTAAGATATCTGAGAGAATGATTTAAAGGAGGAAATACTAATTTGGGATCATGGCTCAGAAGTTATAGCCCATCATGATGAGGAAGACATAGCAGAGCAGCTCACATCATGGCAGGAAGAGAGAGAAAATGCCTCGCTAGTGGCTTTCTCTGCCCATTCCCCTTTATTCCATCTGGGCACCTCCCCTCATGAGACAGTGCCACCCACATTCACTGATTTTTTTCACCCTTATTTAATCCTTTCTGGAAATATCCTTACTGACACACCTAAAAAATGTGCTTTGTGTATCTCCTAGGCACTTCTCAAGTTGACAGTCAAGATTTGCCATCACACATGATTCCCTCTCGCTATGATAGGTCTTACTGTGACTTTTGTCCTAGATGGATTGGTAGACGTGAGGAAGATGAAATTGTGTAGAATAACTCATTTCTATGGCCTAGGTTTTCCCTCCTCAACCATAAAAAAATTGAATAAGATCCATTTTTTCCTCTCCCTTGTTCCTCCTTTCCCTTCCTGTCTTGAGACCCTGCTCTAATATCAACTAAAATGTTGGTATTATTTGCAGTGTTACCATCCATGTGTATCTGAATGTCCTTTCAGGAGTGACATGTCCAAACATGATTAAACAGAGAATTTTATTTCATGTCTGAGTATTTTAATATAAAAATCTTTTAGTAGAATTGACATTCTTAAAAAATTAGCATCTTCTATCACTTCAAAGACCTTTCTATGTGCCCCTTGATTTATAACTTTCTTATTTTGTGATGTGTACAGCAGTCAGACCAGAATTTTTTTAATAATATTGTGAATTTCTAAATTTTGGTTACCCTGTGATATAGGACTTAGGACATACAGCCACCATATACTTATATGTGTTTTCATGAATGTTTCTTTGGGAAGAGAAATGGGTTTCAAATTCTAAATAGCAGCCTATAGTCAACCTTTGTAATGTTCTTATAGGCCCAAGTTAGTTACTATAGTGATGCAGAGTCCTATAATGCATTTTCTTTACTGACGTAGTAGGTTACAATCTGGCCTAGTTAGAACTTTCAAGGACAGTTGTAAGTTCTGAGGAAAGGCTTATTTATTTAGAATTTACCAATTACCTTTTTTCACCTCTAATGAGCCCAGGAATATCCTTTATCCCTTACATTTGTATAAGTAAAGTGTTGAGCATACAGATGTACTAGTTCCCAGTCATCAAATGTAGACTAAAATAGTGATTTCACTTATATTCAGATTCCACTGAAGACATTGGTTTTTCTTTGCCATTCCACAGTACCTTCTCCAGGCAAATTCCGCTCTCCTGCAGCACCATCTCCTTTGGCTCTTCGACAACCAGTGAAAGCATTTAGTAACCATGGCTCTGGTTCTCCTGGTAGCCAAGAAACAACACAGTTCACACAAACCACCTCCTCACCCGGGCCTCCCGTGGTTCAGAACACAGTCCCAGCAAACCCCAGCAATATCAACAGTACTACTCTAACTAGACCTGCAGGGACAACCGCAATGAGAAGCGGCTTGCCCAGACCCAGCGCCCCTTCTGCTGGGGGCATACCAGTGCCTCGCAGCAAGCTTGCACAGCCTGTTCGCAGGTAAGTGGCAAACGTTCTGTCTCAGCATTCTTGCGTGTCAGCTCTGCATTTGGTAATGAGCATAGAGAACCATAATGGATTTCCACTAGAGTATTAGTACAACTTGAATAAAACATTACTTCCTTATTTCGAAGAAGTCCTCATTTCGGACATTAGACCATTTTGGTTCAGATATTTAAATTCGTCCAGATGACTAGTGTGATTAACCATCTTATAGGACATGTAGAAAAAACTGTTAGAACCACTCAATTTAGTTGTGATATGTTTATTTTGAGTACAGTGATAGTCAAAGATAATAATGTGTCAAAATCTAGAATCACATTTAAGATGTAACTTCTAGCTACCAAGCTTGAGTAGAATCTAGAAGCGTGGTTTTCAAACCCTGATACAAGGGGCTGGGAAGGTGGCTCAGTGGTAGAGCGCTTGCCTTGCATGCCTGAGGCCCTGGGTTCAATTCCTCAGCACCACATAAGCAAAAAGAAAAAAGCTGGAAGTGGTGCTGTGGCTCAAGTGGTAGAGCGCTAGCCTTGAACTGAAGAGCTGAGAGGACAGCGCCCAGGCCCAGAGTTCAGGCCCCACGACCGGACCCAAAAAAAAAAAAAAAAAAATCAAACCCTGATACAAGTCAGAATTATCGGTGAAATTTTTATAATGTAGGAGTCTTAGTTGAAGTGTCATGAAGCCCGAAATCTCGTGTGTGTGTGTGTGTGTGTCAGAGAGACAGACAGAGACAGACTTTTTGTTGTTTAATATCAGTTGAGGTGATTCTGATCCAAGCTAGGTTGTTAACCATGTTTGTGCAGTCTTTTTATGCTTTTCAGGAAATACTGTTTTTGGGGGGTTTTTTGCGTCCCGTCGTGGGGCCTGAACTCTGGGCCTGAGTGCTGTCCCGTAGCTCTTCAGCTCAAAGCTAGTGCTCTACCACTTGAGCCACAGCGCCACTTCTGGCTTTTTTCTTTTTGCTTATGTGGTGCTGAGGAATTGAACCCAGGGCCTCAGGCATGCAAGGCAAGCGCTCTGCCACTGAGCCAACTTCCCAGCCCTACTTTTCAGGAAATACTGGAGACCATCATCAATAACTTTTTAGTCATTTATCTGCTTGAAGAAAATATTAAACAGATTACAGAGACTTCGTTAATTCAATAAAAATATTTTACACTTTTAAATTCCACCAAAAGAGTATGATGGCTCTTTGCTCTGTACTGTTCTAAATAACTTATACTTTGTTTAATGTTCACAGTAATGAGTTGGTTCTCCTGCTTTTTAGGGGAAGTTATGGAAATTTAATGAGATTCAATAAGTTACCTAAGGCCACACAACTAAAACATTCCATTACAAGGTCTTTTAGCCATTCTTTACAAAGTCTTTAACCCCATTCTTCCTGCTTCTTCAGGATCAGATTCATCTTTCTACCTCAAAATGACTAATAGGTCGGTCGTCCATGTGGATGAAAAAGTAATACTATCTTTCTTCATTTTAATCTTGGAGCTATGTTAGCCAAGACATGTTAGAGAAGATGTGCTCAGCTGTGAAAGTGTAAGGAAGAAGAAGTTGTGCTAGTAGCCTTTCAGAGCTTTGGGCTTAGTTCTTTTGTGATCATGGCACTTAAAATTAACATGTTGAAGACGGTATGGTTGTGTTTTTATAAATATATGCCAATCATTATAAAACTTTTTTTTTTTCAGATCCTTGCCAGCTCCTAAAACCTATGGTAGCATGAAAGACGACAGTTGGAAAGATGGCTGCTACTGACCAGCAAAGACAAGATTGCAGAAGTCCACAGCTTCATAATACCCCTTCACCAGTCTGAAAAACAACTTTTATATATGCAGACTGTTCTGATACAGCTCTTGGGATTCATAAAATCTCAGCCCTCTCTGTCTTAAACTAGCACAACTGACAGAGATGATCAAGCAGCACTTTAATGACATTTAACATCAAATGTGTTTGGTGATCATACAATCACTTCCATGAAATCACTTTTTAGTTTTGCTTAATAGAAATTCGGTTGATTTTTTTTTTTTTTTTTTTAATATTTGATGGAAACCAATATCTGGGTAAATACCAAGTGGATGCCAAAGAAAATGCCCATTTGTAAATGAAAGCCTAACATTGTACACAGAAAATGGTGAGTTCAGGCTATCCAAAAATCTTATTCAACCTAATTTACTGTATGAATAGTATCAATAAATATTTGTGTCAATGAGAACTAATATCCTGACTAATTATCTAAAGTGTCTGACCAGTCCTTCAGGAAGCGATAGATGAAGATTGGATTGGAAGACAGAAAAAGGAAACAGGCTAGAGATTTCAAGCATATGATACCTACATTTAAGAATTTCTATCTTTTTTTTTTTTTTTTTTTGCAAATTAATTAGAAAACATCATTTTGTTTAGTCTTAAGGTTTAGACATAGCTCACCTTTCACCTCCACCAGATGATGTTGCCATGTACATCATGATGTTGTTGCATTGACACAAAACAACTGCATTTGTTTTGATTGCCAAAAGGGCTTGATACCAGTTGTACAATCTTTCTAAATTTTATAGTTCCCGGCTCAGGAAAGACGGCCTTTACTATTGAAACCTACTTCTTCAGGTTACCTGTAACAGAAGTAAAAGATCTCGTTTCTCTTAGCAGGTTTCCATGATTGGGAAGAACAAGTAGAGCATGTCTTTATTCTTGATACAACACCTCAGTGCTTACAACCTGGAACAAAACCATACAGTGAGAGAGAGGGTGGAAATCTATGCACTTAATCTACAAAATCTCTGGTGATGACAGTTGTATTGTTGCTATTAAATGGCATAACAGTCTATTTTGTGGTAGGTAAATCTAGCCTATTAATCCTATTTAAGTCTATCCACTTTAAACTGAGTAAAGAAAATACCTTTTTCTAAATATTGCCCCTTTTGACTAAGATTCTGCCTTACGTCAGTTTTTCCATTTTTGGTAACCTACTACATCTGACTCATAACTTGTTTAATACTTGCTCTCTCATGGTAGATATATCCTTGAAATTATCCATTTTGGTTTTATCAGAACTAAAACTTCTTTCATAGTAGGTTTGTCACTTTTGATGGTGTAGTCTTTTAACAACCATCAAATAGTGGCATTTGAGTCACCTAAAAGATTTTAGGTATTTAAACATAAGTTTATTTCCTGTTAATCAAAGACATTCTGTAAGTTGGCAGAAGAAATTGAGAGAGAAATGGAAGGCTTTATATTCAGTACCATATTGAGGCTGATAGATTGAGAGAATGATAATACTTAAAACCAAGCCCATTCTGCCGTGACTGACACTAGGGTAATTGGTACCATTGTGACCAGGAGGAAGGTATTCAGTTAGCACAAGCAGCTGCTGGCTGGAGCTACCAGTCCTGTGTAGTTTGGTGCAGAATGCAGGGAAGACATTTTATGAATTTGAAAGTGATGGCATGGGTCTGGAAAGGATGGTGCCAGAATTCTACATGATGATAAACTAAAAACATGTTGCTTTTCAGAAGAAGATAAGAAAGTATCTGCTTTGGTGGAGGAGTATCTCATTTAAATCTAAGTAAAAAGAACTAGCCATGGTGTATTTTAAAAATGGTATACACACAAAACAGGTCTCGGTTTTCAGTGCAACTTAAAAAAAATATATATGCTGCAATCTATTAATTAAAATGAGTTTTAACTGTTATAAAACATCGGTTACATTTTTTAAGTTAGATAATCAGTTTCAAGAGGAGTATTCAGGTTATTTAACTTTGTTTTTAAATGGCTGCATCAGAAAAAATCTATTTTTTTTAATTAAAATATTTCATCACTTGTTAAAAGTGTATTTTCGATCTGAGTTTAGTAAAGTATTATTTTACTTGCTGTTGTACTACCACAGACGGTTGGCTTGTAGTTTCCTAAAGAGAAAAATTGCCTTTTTACTAGAAAGCCTTTGTGTATCGCCAGTTTTTCTGTTTGGGAAAATCTAAGGATTTACTGTGGTTAGTCTTACAGAAGAAATGTGGATTTGATAAACTAGTGCCTATGATTTTAACTTATGTTTGATACATAGTAGTAAGGATTTTATGAATGTTGATTATTTTGTGCCAACAACCCAGAATTGTCACTTCTATGTAAGCAGAAAGCTATGAACTCTGCTTCCAAAGTTATTTAATTTTCTTGGTGTTTGAATGTTATTTTTTGTAAGTGTGTTAATAAAAGTGTAAAGAATTGGAAAATATAAATATTCTTAACTCAAGCATTTGCTGGATCATTTTTCTATAAAGCTTGTTTGTATAATACAAAACACTCTCGGAAGAGTTGGCTTTTTTCAGTTTTCATACCCTGGAAATCACATTTTGTAAAACTGGGACCATTCATAATTACCAGATACTTTTTTAAATTATCTCAATGCATCACTTTTATATTACAGTTTTTTTGAAAGAAAATCAGATACATATGTGGCCCCAGGTGTTTGTATAACTCTAGAATGATCTAGACTATGTATGTTTAAATTGACTTTTTATTGACTGTACAGGTGTCCATTTTTGACATTATGCATGGTCCTTTTAGATCACATGAAGTTTGATTTGCAAACATTTCTATAGCCTAAACTTGTATATGTGGTTGCCTCCTTAATAAACAGCCTGACCATAATGTTTATTATTAAATTTATATTCATTTTCAAGTGTTTTATTAATTTCTGCATATGATAATGTTTCTCCCTCATTTGCCTTTAATTAGTTTTAATAAATTTTCATTTTGTTTTTTAAACACAACTCAAATCCAATTGCCCTTTTAGATTTAGACTTCATAGTGTTGGATTGTGTCACGTTATTTCATATATGGATTATTTGTGGTAAATTTACAGTTTACTCCAAATTTGTTTGTTCTTGGAAATTTTCACCTGCCACAAACTAGTGTCTTTTTAGAAAAAGTTAACATAAATGTAGCAAGGAAGTTTCAAACTTCCAAGAGGGAAAAATTAATGAATTTTCAAGCCAAATATAATATTTAGATAATCACATGCATACATTGTTTGTGGATGGAAAATGAACAATTGTATGCACTGTTCAAGAATACCTTCACATTTGAATTTTTCTAAGTCAACTGAAAAACTTTTAAGTACGCTTGAATAATAATTCAACATCATATACTAACAAGTTTGTCTAAACTTATTATATTCCTGGTGCAACAGGAAAATCCATGTGAAGGATATTATGGGACTTTTACCGTATTAGAGTTTACATTGAAGCTAGATACAGTGGTATGAGCTCAGCACTCAAAAAGGAGGCCAAGGATCATAGTCTGAAACCATCCTAAACTACATTTTGAGACCCTATTGCAAAGAAGGTTTACTTTGAGTTATAAAAGCAGAAATGTAGAGAAACTAACACGACCAGAAGGAGTACTCTAATGTATTTTGAATTACCCTAAACAGAAGTCCGGGCAGGTAAATGGCCCTCTGCAAAATGGAACACTTTTATTCATGGGCATGATTTACCACAATCTGGTTACAACTGGGTTACCTGAATGCCACTTTTAAACCAATATCCATCTATATTTGGTCACATTATTTTCTTTTTCAAAATGAGAAGCCTGGCGCTGGTGGCTCACACCTGTTAGATCAGGGGATCACAGTTCAAAGCCAGCCTAGGAAGGAAAGTACGTGAGACTTATATCTCCAACTAACCACCAGAAAAACAGAAGTAGTGCTGTGGCTCAAGTGGTAGAGCACTCACCTTGAGCTGAAGACAGTTCCCAGACCCAGAGTTCAAGCCCCACAAACAACAAAAATGAAGAGGAAAGGTACAAAAGTATATATACAAAAAATAAGTCTGGGTTTCTTTTGTTTAGTAGGGTAACATTGTATGTTTCAAAGTAACTATAAAGGTTATTCCGAATTTTCTTATCACAGAGAAAGGATAAATGTTTGAGATGATGGATATGCTAGATACTCTAATGTGTGTCAAAACATACTCAAATATGTACAATTGCATTCCAGTTTGAAACAAAAAAGTAGAAAAATACACTGATCACAGTAGCAGTGAAAAAAAAAAACAAAACACTTTATTTTTTTTATTGTGAAAATACTGTACAGAGGGGTTACAATTACATGGGCAAGATAATGAGTACATTTCTTATCCAGCATTGTAGCCTCCTTTGTTTCCCCTTCCCATCCCTTCCGATACCCCCCCCCCCCCCCAACCAAAACACTTTAATGGTTTTGGAAGTAACAGATTCATTGCTTTAAAATTTAAAAAAAAAAAACCTGAAAATAGTAAACAATATAAAGAAGAAAAGTGATGATTGCCTACAATCCCACCATTCAAAAGTAAATTTCTAAGCATGCTTACCATAAATGGTTATAAATGTGGAGGAGTAGAAAGGTTTTTTTGTTGTTGTTTTTTCTTTTTGATTTGTCTTAGGGCTTGAACTTGGGGCCTGGGGGCTTCCACTGAGCTATTTTGCCCTAGGCTAGCGCTCTACCACTTGGAGCCATAGCTCTACTTCCGGTTTTCTGGTGGTTAATTGTGGATAAGAGTCTCTCAGGGGCCAGGTGTTATTGGTTCACGCTTGTAATCCTAGCTACTCGGGAGGCTGAGATCTGAGGATTGCTGTTCAAAGCCAGCCTGGACAGGAAAGATTGTAAAGACTAACATTTATCTGCCTGAAAACCGTAAGTGGAGCTGTGGCTCAAAGTGGTAGAGCACTAGTCTTGAGCAAAAATGCTCAGGGACAGCGCCCAGGCCCTGAGTTTAAGCCCCATGACCAGCCCACCCTACCCCCTGCCCCACCATCCTCCTTCTCACAGTCTCACAGGGACTTTTCTGCCCGGGCTGGCTTTGAATCGTGATCCTCAGATCTCAGCCTCCTGAGTAGCTAGGGTTACAGGTATGAGCCACCATGAGAAATTTTTTTTTTTTTTTTTTTTTGTCGGTCGTGGGGCTTGAACTCTGGGCCTGGGCGCTGTCCCTCAGCTCTTCAGCTCAAGCCAAGCGCTCCACCACTTGAGCTACAGCACAGCACCACTTCCGGTTTTCTGGTGGTTTATTGGAGATAGGAGTCTCACGGTCTCTCCTGCCCGGGCTGGCTTTGAACCGCGATCCTCAGATCTCAGCCTCCTGAGTAGCTAGGATTACAGGCGTGAGCCACCAGCGCCCGGCACCATGAGAAAAATTTTTGCACATTAGTTTTTTGTTTTGTTTTGGGGGTTTGAGGTGGTTTTGTTTTTGTTTTTGTTTTTTTGTACATTCACTGCTATTGAAAGCTTGGTGCATGTCATAATTGTACATACACCTTGAGAGAATATACATACACATATATATATATATGTTTCTTGTTATGACATCAATTGACTTACAAGGAAATCACACATTGTAGAAATTAGAAAAGTAGTCAATTATGAAGGTGAAGCATGCATTCCTTAGATCATCAAACTTCATAAATTTGAGAATTTTTTTGGAATTGGAATCAGCGCTCATGCTTCACCGTTTTATGTTTCTTTTTGTTTTTCTAATTTTATAATATATAACTCATAAGACTATTAAAAAAATCACACAATTGCTAGAGAGCATAAAAGTTCCAAAAAATTGTCTGTTTTTTGTTCAATTTTCTAAGGATGCACTTAAATGGTTAAATGCAGACATTATGATATTTCATTATTTTTTGTAAAACTATTCTCATTATTTTGTCTATTCACAGTATTAACTCTCGTGTCTACTTTTGCACTTTTATGTTTTCATTCTGAAGTTACTGATAACTTGGGACATCACATGGAAATAGTTCATTATTAACCTACTTTTCTCTCTGTGTGTACACACATATAATCAAAGTTCACAGGGCAGAGATCATTGATTGCTTCATAAATGGGTAGCAGGTACTTAGAAATGTCCCTGACACATAGCAGACACTCAAATATTGTTGAATGAAAGTGTTGCTAGTGAGAATCTGTTTAGAGGATAATGTATAACACAAAATTTAAAATGTGATTTTGGATAGTTATTCCATTTAAAAATTTTTACCTTGGGGCTGGGAAGGTGGCTCAGTGGTAGAGCGCTTGCCTTGCATGCCTGAGGCCCTGGGTTCGGTTCCTCAGCACCACATAAGCAAAAAGAAAAAAGCCAGAAGAGGCACTGTGGCTCAAGTGGTAGAGCGCTAGCCTTGAGCTGAAGAGCTGAGGTACAGCGCCCAGGCCCAGAGTTCAGGTCCCACGACCGGAACCAAAAAAAATTTTTTTTACCTTGACGTCTACCTGCAGTGTGTTGGTGCAAATAAACAAAACCAAGTACATATATATATATGGATTTCAGTGTCCATTAATAAGAATTGGACATGTATTAATATGCACACATTAGAAAGATCAACACAAAGCAGCTCTATACAGAATGATGTGAGATGACACATGAGATACTGGTTAAAAGGAAATGCCAGTTGTCAAGCAGTGCCTCTTGTGGAATAGAAATGGTCTGTCGGGGGCTGGGGTACAGCTCAGTGGCAGAGTATATGCTTAGCGACTCTGGGTTCTGTCCCCAAGACACCCCTCCCAACATATTTGCACTTCTGCTTGATTGATTAGCAATGACCATCTCTGTAGGAAAACAATAAATTGCTAGCAGATTACCTGTGGAGAAAGACTTCCTTGTGGGGGTTTTGTTTTTGTTTTTCTGTCAGTCATGGGGCTTGAACTCAGGGCCTGAGTACTGTCCCCGAGTTGTTTTGCTCAAGGCTAGCACTCTACCACTTTGAACTAAATGCCACTTCTGGTTTTCTGGTGGTTAACTGGAAATAGAGTCTCATGAGCTTTCCTGCCCAGAGTAGCTTTGAAGCATGAGCCTCAGATTTCACACTCCTGAGTAGCTGGAATTACAGGCGTGAGCCACCAGTGCCCAGCCTCTTCACTGGTTTATAACTACATCCTTCACTCTATCAAAAATAAAAGAAACTATGTATACACGTATAATCCCAGGCACTCAGAAGGATTATAGTGCAAGACCAACCCTGAGATTTTTTTTAAAGTTATATTTCCCTATCTCAATAAAGCAGGGGCTGTTGGTGAAGGCTGTAGTCTCAGCTAAGTGTAAGTAGGAGGATTACGATCTGGATCTGGGTTTTAAGCAAAAATTCAAGACCCTTTCTGAAAAAGCAAAGAGGGCTGGCTCAAGTGATAGGACACCTGCTTAGCAAATACGAAGCCCCGAGTTCAAACTCCAGTACTACCAAAATACAAGAGTAAAAGTGAAATCTAACACCTAACTAGACTGCCCTACTAACGACAGTCTCACTGGGTGAAGCAATTCGGCTGCTCTGTGAGACACCATTGTTTGAGATTATTGTTTTAACCTCTTGTGAAGTCATTGTAAGATTATATTTTCCTGTATTATGCTTTGGGCTCTGTAGAAGGTTTTATAAAGAGCAATGACTGCTTTTGCCTCTGTTGTACAATTAACCAGTGCATTGTGCATTGTCTGGCTCTTAGTTCTCCATATTCAGGTCCTGGCTGTCATTTTCCTTGTGGAATGCACCCTGTGGAAAATGCAACTCTGAAGGACCTGGAGGCCCCACGGGGCCCTTACCACCTCTGCATTTTCCTCCCTGTTGTCAGAAAGTTCAGCTCTCTGCACGATGCTCTTCCGCATGTTTTAGGAGCTATTTGAAGTGCTTTACCTCACTAA